GTCTCCACTGTCCACAATCACATGCTAGGGACACCCAATCATCAACGAGAACACCAAAATACACCAAATTCTCCTTGACATTATTTCAAAATCATTTTTTTGGCTTATGCTGTGGTCTCTTGCCAGAAAGAATCTCACCATAAAACAGTTGTTTTAGAAGTCTAGAGTCATCAAGCCAAACAAGATGGCCAGCCCAATGCAACTGGTTCCTAATCACAATTGCAGCAATGCTGATTGTTTTGGCTTTGGTCAAGACACCTGTATCTGGGACACAACTGTCAAACTTCATATCAAGAATATGTTTGAAACAGTGCTGATGGAATCTTTCAAGCAGTTTTATATAAGATTGATACAAGGTCCAGGTTTCAGAGGTATAGAGTAAGGTTGTCAATACACATGTTTGATAAACAGATACTTTAGTTGCCAAAGTTAAATCACCAACCAACCAGATTCTATCTTCTAGCTTACCAAAGGACCTAGATGCCATGCTTATTCTCTGTTTGATTTCCACATCAAGGGTGCCATCATTTGATAATTTACTACCAAGGTAGACAAACTCTTTGATGACTTCAAGATGTTTCCCATAGACAAAGATGTCAGGTTCCACGTAAAGATCACCAGAAGCAGGAGTGTCCATGATTTTGGTTTTCTTAATGATGATTGTCAATCCAAAGCAAGTACAAGTATTAGTGAAGTGGTCCATCACTGACCGCATTTCCTCTGGAAAGTGTGCAACTAAGTTGGCATATAGAAGCTCCCTAACAAATCATTAACACAGGTTCTGGCTTAGAATCTTCTCAAGTTGAAAACTTTTCCAGTTGTCCGGAATCTGATATAGACACCTGTATCACAGTCATGGAAGGCATATCAGAGTACAACCATCAGGTAAAGTGAGAACAATGGGGGTGCAGGTATATCACCCTGATTTACTCCATTATTGATGGGAAGTTCCTCCAAGAGCTGACCATTGAAATTGACACCTTTCATACAGCAATGTAGTTGCTTGAACTTTTCAATAAAAGCAGGTATACAGACAAAGTTTCCGAGCCCCTTCCAGAGAATCCCACGATTCACTGTGTCGAAAGCTTTAGTTAGGTTAGCAAAAACCTGACAAAGTGGCACAAGCTATTCAATACATTTTTCTACAAACTGTTTAGCAGAGAATATCTTGTCTACAGTCCCTCTTCCACTTCTAAAACCAGCTTGGGACTCAGGAAGGTTCATCAGGACAAATATGCTTCTCCAAACGGTTTAGCAAGAGTCTTGCAAACATTTTTTCAACTGTTTCTAGCAGTGAAATACCATGGTAATTACCACAGTCTGACTTCTTCCCCTTTCCTTTGTACAGCATAATCAGAATGGCATCTATTCAGTCTTGAGCAACTGGTTCACCTCTCCATACAGATAACATTAAAGAGTAGACCACACAATGGACATTCATACCACCATAGCTCAACAGGAATACCATCTAGTCCAGGAGCTTTGTTTGAGTTGATCTGTTTTATACAAGCAGTTGTTTATTCAAGAGTTGTTTCCATGTCATGTTCAATCTGAAGGGCAAGCTGAGGGAGACTATTGTAGCAACATCCACATTGGAAAGATTGTGAAAGAGATCTCGAAAATGTTCATACCAATGGCCTATAATTTCATCTGAAGTCTTCAGCAATGTGATTCCATCCTTTGCTAATAGTGGTGTAGTAGACGTAGATTTTGGATCATATGCCTGATGAAGCAGGCCATAAAATGCCTTGATATCTTTCTTGTCATAAGTTGTCTGTATCTCCTTCAATAAATCAGACCACCATTTTTTTTTGATTTGGTACACACAGCATTGAACCTTACTTTTCAGAAAGGAGAAGTGAACAGCAAAAGCTGACCTTATGGCAGACGAAGAGTTGAGGAGTTTTAAATGATCTTTCCTCTTTTTGTCAATAAGAAGGTTGGTTTCACTGGAGTTGTCAGCGAACCAATATCAATTCCTGGGAACTCTCAATCCAAGAATTTTTCATAGATATCTCTTACTCTTTCCCAATCACAATATCTATCTGGTCATAGGCAGAGTTAAGGGAGTTTCTGACGACTGGATCTTTCAACTTCAAGACATCAATCCACTTAGGAACTTTGACTCCATTGAAATGACTTTTTCAGTGAATAGAAATTTTGAGCTTAGCCCTGACCATCAAATGTTACAATTGGCACTATGCATCACTCTGACTTTGCAGTTTCTTAGATCACCATATCTACAGATTATGTAATCAAGTATATGACCATGCTTAGACTGATGATGGAACTAAGTTGCCTTGTTCTTCTGGTAGAAGAATGTGTTGGTGATATCTAGATTTAATTCAGTACAGAGCTGAAGGTGCAATAGACCATTCAAATTAATTTTATCAACACCAGGAGACCAGGTTTGAGCTGACGTGTGCATTCAAATCACCAAGGATTACTAAACTCTCAGCACTTAGTATACTGGTGACAATGGATCTGAGTGTATGGTAGAAGGATGTAATGTCATCTTCAGGTGAGAAGGATGTAATGTCATCTTCAGGTATAGACAAATAGAACTGTCATGTATCAACCTCCTGCAAGAGGAATTCTCAGTCATTAATGTCAACTGGCTGTTTCGATCTTGTCAACTAAGGAATTCTTAACAGCAAAGCTCACACCAGCCTCATGCTTCTCTTTTTTTCAGATTTACCAGACCAGAAGATAGTGTAGCTTACATCATGTTCAACAAGTTGATCTCCATCAGCAAAACAGATTTCAGAAAGGGCAGCAATGTCTACATTGTACCTCTGCAATTCCATGGCTAGAATTGCAGTCTTGCATTCAGGTCTTTTCCCATTGTCAAAAAGTGTTCTCACATTGCAGCAACAGAGCTGAAGTGAGTGTCATTTTGCATATCGCTTATTCCTGCGGATATACAAAGCTGTCAGCCACAGGAAGCTAACCAGAAGATCAAAGGCAGCTTTGTTTAGGACATATTTTCTTGTCCCCTCCCAAAGTGCTATCCTGAAGAGGTTGCTCAGTCACAAAAGGCTCCACCGAATACACAACTGTCAATGTATTGTTGTGAGAAGCGATGTTAGGATAAGCCTTATGTTGCCTACATGCAGATCAGTAACTACATGATTCCAGCTTTTCAAGCCTACAGGCATCACCACATTTCCATCACTGCAGGACTTCTCAGAACAGACAGATGTCATTGTTTGAAGGAGTATCTCTACATAGATGGTTAATATAGAGACATAGCTTTGTACAAAAGCTAGATCTCTCTTGAAAAAATTATAAAATATAAATACTGTATAAATGCGTAATATAACAAATAAACAAAGAATAGTATAGGAATAATTTGTGATTAATTTAAAACCGTTTTTACTATAGAAACCACAGCAGCACCACTTAACATGATGAGATTGTGTCCCTATAATTCAAAGATGGTGAGGGTGGGGGATGAAAGGTTAAGATACAATGTTATATAAAAAGGTACATATAAAAAGAGAGAGAGATGGTGGTGTAAATTTGGTTATATGCATACACACAAAAGTATGTGCGAGTTGCAATACTTCTAACTTTGAAAACAATACTGCTAATTTGAAAATCAGGAAATGATAATTGAAGGTTTTTGGTTGATTGAAAGCAAGCCATATTGGAGAGATAGCAAATGCTTTAAACTCCAACCTGGGCATTTTATTTTAGATAATTAAAATTATATAATAAAATTATATAACCTCTGTCCATTATGTTTTCACAGATGAGATTGTAGAAAAATGACCCACGTGCAGCAGTCATTGGTTAAATGTGTCAACATTAGAAATGAAATAGAACAAAAAAATGAAATGTCACCAAATCTAAATGAAATATGCTTCTGCAGACATTATGTTAGGAAAACAAAAAAAATAAACTTAATTTGCTGATTTAAGATTTCAAAAGTGGATGAAAAACTGTCAAGGGTGATAATGTGTGGAACAGCATTTCTTAAATTTTATTTTAATCAGTGACTGCATATATATATATATATATATATATGTGTTTCTGTGTGTGTGTGTATATATATATATATATATATATATATATAAACACTGATGTCAGAGTAAATGGATGGTGTTTTTTTTCATTGCTCAAGGAAAGCAATTTGTGTTTAATTTAAAGCACTACCTTATAAAACCCTTGTAGAGTTGTTAGCTTTACACCCAACCGGTTTTGAAATTTGAGTTGTTGTTCTCTGAAATTGTTACTCCAACCAAGCAAAGGTTGGAAACTCTGTCTACCTTGCAAAATTATCCCCAAATTAATTAATACCCTTTTCTAAGTTATTTGTGGCTGGAATTTAAAGTAAGCATGATGAAAACCATAACACATCTCCATATATACACATGGCTTAGTGAGTAAAAGCATTGGTTTGGGAATTTGTTCACATAGTGGTTGTGAGTTCAATCCTTGGATTAACAGTGTACTTGTAAGCAGTGGAAACCATTCAAACAATAACTGAGCAGTATTAAAAATAAAAACTAGATGATGAGATGTCTCTAGTGGAACAAGAACCTTTTACCTCCATAGATTAAATAAAGGGTTCAAAATTTTTTATGTAAATTATTTCAATCAACATATGCTTGATGAAGTCTAAGGGGCATAATGGTCAGAACATTGTGATAACAACAACAAAGATAAGGACAATAGTCCACATGTAAATAGCGTAAACTCGTCATCATCCCAGAAATTCAAATGGAAAAAATAATTATAAAGTTTTAATTTTTGTCTTACTTTTTATATTTCCTCTAGTAAGAAGCTCAGCCAATATATTTAAAGTAAATAGCCTTTAAATATGGGAGCATCACTGTGATGCACCGAAATGGCTTACATATTTACAGGGTATTTACTTCAAACTAATAAAGTTTAGTGATAATTATCATTTGCAATTATATTCTCTGAATAGGAAATAACTTGACATGAAGGCTGCCAAAGATGGCATTGTCAATTTTGTTTTCCTTTTATTTCAGGTTTCAGTCAGAATCGCTCAACCAGTGCAACAAGTTCTGAAGCAGAGAAGATGAAAGACATTGAAGAAGAAAGCAAGATTATTTTCCCTCCAGCTCCACTCATCAATTCGGAGCAAGCCAGTTTGTAAGATATTTTTTTCTTCAATATTTCATGACACTGTCTGCAATTTTTACCACCTTCATAGAAAATGGCAGATTCAAATGTTTAGCAGGTTTAGTAAGCTGGCCTCAAAGATCAACTCTAGCTAGTTTGATCCTCACTAGGTGCCTCATCTTTCTGTTTTTGTACTGTATTAAACTTGAAACATGTGTAAGATGGTTACATGTATAGACACCAAAGTGAATACAAATTGCTGATCTTGCGCCAGACTAGACTACAATTGGTTTCTTGTTGTTTACTTACTCTGGCACAAGGCCATAGTATTTGAGAGCTCAGTAAAATTGCACACACTACACAAGCAATTTGGTTTGTAAGAGATGCATGCCATGGTAGGCACCCTAATTTACTAAAGTTTGTCTGGTACAAGGTCATAAAAGTAGGGCACTTATTGCCTTTGTGGTGAGGATACGTGACATTATCACATTATATATGATTAAGCATATGGCTCCAAATGGTTTTCAGCAACTAGGGTCAGTGTTCCATATTGGGATGAGTTCGTTATGTGCTAATCTCCACAGCTGTATTCAGGCCAATACACCAAAGTTGCACTGTATATCTCTTACTGAAAATCAAAACAGCCCTCTATTCTCCATGAGAAAGGAGATTTTCTTGTATTAAATATTGCAATGCATATGGTCTATACTGTCTACTTTTATTGTCCCTAGTAAGGAAAATTTTACCAAATACTTGTCAGTCAGTGATAGAGGGGGAGAAATGAGTGAAAGAGACTTCCCAATCCTAGCAGTTGCAGAACCATGAAAGGTTTTGGAGGTAGCACCTCATTTTTTTACCAGGAAATCTCACTTTCTAACTAATTGCTGATGCATTAATTCATGGGCCAATAAAAAGGCACCACCACAAACTTTCTTTTTCCTTTAACTGACCCTATCAAAGATATAGTATTTTAGAAATACAGTATAATGTTTATTAGATATTTTATTTTTCTTTAACCTTAAATTATACACTTACATGCTTATTGCTCTCATGTTGAAGATGAAAACAGACTCACAGCTCTAGCAATGATGGTGACAATGCCTAGTGATGAGGGGGTGACAATGAATTTACAGCCCTAGTGATGAGGGGGTGACAACAGATTTACAGTCCTAGTGATGAGGGGGTGACATTGGGCTTACAGCCCTACCAATGAAGATAATAAGCTGGAAACCAAAGTTTGGAGAATTTGCCAATTGGAAAAAAATAACTTACACTGATCACTTATTTCCCAGTGGTATTTTTTTTTCTCTCAAAATAGCTCACAGATGGTTATCAGTGAGAGTTTGTATGACACTGGATTTGTGCAAATTTTTACCCAAACTTTTTAGATAGCACCTCACAAGTAGGTGTGTTCTTCAGTTTAAGTTAAAGTTTACAAAGCTGTTTTTTTGTTTCACCCTTCCTGCTGGACAGAGAGTTCAATCTTCAGTTTATGATTTTGTCACAAATTAAATAAATAACAGCCTCTTCACAAGTTTATGGGTCTTTCTTTTTTTTTCTCATCAAAGTCATAAATGAAAAAGGTTCCAAATTTAAACAAAACTCCAGATTTAAACAAAGGAAGCCTTTAGGTCTTAAAGACAATAATCCTTCATCAAGCCCAATGGAATGGCACCAGGGAATCACAAAAGAGCTTTACCAAATAACAAAAACCACATCACTTGAAGACTTTAAAACAGTAGCAACAACAAAAATGGACAGCACATATTATTAGAAGAGAGAATAATGGTATAATCAAGATATTGGCTTTCCACATTATCTTAAACAAAAGGTTTGTGAGGAAACTCCCATCAATACCAGAAAGAATGATAACTGTGGATTTGTAAATTTTAATTTCCTGAAAAACCATTTTTAAGAAAAAGATTTAATTTTAATTAATAGTAATGCTAACTGTTCAATAAATGAATGAGAAGTGTTTCCTTATAAGGGAATCATTAATTTTACCATTACCAATTAGGAACATTTTTTTATATATTATTGAAATATAGAAATTAATTGTTCAATGTGAAGATACAGAATATAATTTTCCCATTTTTGTTCTGATTTTCTTTTTTGTATTTACTCTTGCATTTACCCTTTAGACATGGTTAGCACAATGGTTACTGACATGGGAAGTGGAATCTGTGTTCAACTTCTAATTTTGCACTAATAGCCTTGGGAAAGTCATGAATGTATCTTTTCTCAAAAGCTATGTGTTAAATACAACAGACTCTGGGCTCTTTAGTCTAGAAGAATAATAATTTTGATCTCAAAATCAGGGAATGCACAACAAACAACCATTCCGCCATCTTTCCCAAGAGGTCATAGCAATTTACAGAAAATAAAGCCAAAGAACCTGTAAAGAACCTTGAATGCCTCCATCATGAAAGGACATATCATTAAAAAAATGAGTTGCAGTATAATTGTATAGAATTGCTGTTCATGTAAAACCCATGGACTTCAACATGTCAAATCTTTTTATTCACTCCCTACGTACTTAATGACACAGCAAATTCTGTCAGTTTTGGCAGAGGAGTGGGGGATATTAAATACTGACTGCATATGAAACTAGGTTCGTATCAACTGCCCACTCACAAATTTCTCTATTACTTTCCTGTTTAATATTAGTTGCTTCTTAGCATAAAAAAAGTTTTGGCTATATTATAAATTGAAAAAAATAAATATAGGTATTGTCAATGGTCAGGAATTAATTCAAGGATTACTGATAGAATAGGGCTATTATATGTATAATATAAATGCATTACTAATGATTTTACTACAGGAATGCATTGAAAATCAGGAAGAAAGATATTGTCAGTGGTCAGGAATTAAAGTAAGTGTTACTGAGAGAAAACAGGAAATGGATAATATTATATAGACAGTTGACATAATTTGGTACAAGGTCATAAATGTAGAGCTCTCGATGAGGATTGCAATCATTACACAATCACAATGATTTGCAAAACCAAGTTGTTAACCATTCTTCCATGAGAAGCCAACTTGGTACCCCACATCATCATGAGAGACTGAAATTGAAATTTCTTTCACAACAGAAATGTAATTCCTTCAGTTTTTGATTATATATTTATTTACAGGCTTTTGCAGTCTTTGGAGAAACCATTAGTTCTTAGCAATTTCTTTTGCCATGGAGAGAATCTCTTCATCCAAGCAGAGACAATGGCGCCACCATCCAAAAGAAGAGTTCGAAGAAAAAGAAGTTTTAGGTAATTTTCTCTTGCTTTTTTTTTTTTTTTTTTTGCTCTCTTTTTTTTCTTTCTTTCTTTCTCTATTTTTTTTATCTCCAGTTCTCCTTTTCTCTCTCTCTCTCTCTCTCTCTCTCTCTCTCTCTCGACACACAAAAGTATTAGATGAAGATTAAATTAATGTAATGGATTGATTCAGGTGTATAAAACTACACATGACTGGGTAGGAAGGGTGACTTTCTAGGAATTGTGCAAATGACTGACATTTGACCATGCAAAAAATGGTATATTTCAGGACATAATCTGTTCTACAGAAGGAAGAAACCTAAAATTCTCTGTTCCATAAGTTGCAAAGAAAGGAATTATTTTTCTGGCTCACATTGCTGGAAATGAATTGAGCCAGTTAGTAGATTTGCCATCATATCTCTTCTGTTTAACATTTTCTAGAAAAACAGAGAACGCTTTTATATTATGTTGATACAGGCGCGTGGCTGAAGTATATTAGTAAGGATTAGTAAAAGCAATGAGAGCAGAGAGACATAGGTCTTAACGTAACCAAAACTTTATTAACACTGATCTAGTAGTAATTCCTATTATTGGAATATACCACGTGGTGGTAGTGGGAGGTAACAGGCAATTGGGGATAGTGGGAGTCAAGGGGGAAACAACTCGTGTTTACATACATATAACAAACGCTCTTCTCTTTCTTTCATGGTTAAACACCTGAAGAAGGCTGTGAAATTGATTGGCTGAAACATTGCAGAAACACAGAAGAATAAATTTAAAAGTCCATACAACTTTTGGTATCGGTATCTATTTAAGACTACTTCCTTGGTCATTAAAACCATGTATATTTTAAAAGGCTTGTTGTTTTCATAAGGTTCAAGGTCAAGCAGGGGGTAATGGAGGTAGAAAGATTGTGTTGAGCCAATCTTTTAAGTGGGGTGGTCTTGCCTGCTTTGAAAATCAGCATTCAAGATATTTGCTTTTGCCTAGGAGTGAACACTAAATACTGGTGCCAAGAAATATAGAATTCTCTTAACTCTTAAGTAATTCTAATTATGGCCACAGGTTGACATGGCAGAATGTTCTTTATTCTGATTGAATGATAAAATATTCAATGGAAGAAAAGAGACACAAAACTTTCAAGATTTTGCTTTTCATTCTGTCACTGGTTGTTTTTTTTTTGTTTTTTTTTTTTTTTTTTATTTCTTTTGGGATTTGATTTTTTTTTTATTTCATTTCATTTGGGATTTGATTTTTTTTTTTTTTTTTGCTTTTGTTTCTTTTGGGATTTGATTTTGATTTTTTTTTTTTTTTTTTTTTTTTTAATATTTCTATTTCTTCTTATTTCGTTTTTTTTTTCTGTCTGACAAATTATTATGGAAAAATGAAAAAGAAAAAAATTATCTAATTTTTTCCTTTCTTTCTTTTTCATTTTTCTTTTCTTTTTTTAATTTCTCTCTTTTTTTTTCATGTTTCATTTTTCTTTTCTAATTTTTCCTTTTCTTATTTTTCTTTTTGTTCATTTTTCTCTTTTTTCCCTCCTCCTCTTTTTATCTTTTCTATTAGTTAACAAGAGTTCCATACTTTTTTTTACCATTGTTAGGAAGAAAGAGTCTGTGAATAGTATCTGCATGCATTATAGACATTCTGCTTCAAGTCGTGAAGGAGGAGATGAATACTCATCTGAGACATCAGAAATGGACAGCCAAGGAACTGTGAGTTTGATGACATTTCTTCTTTCTTTTCTGCCTAATATGTCCCCCTCCTCATCATCAGAAATGCAAAGTGGTGAAAGTTTCCAATATTTTTATTAAACTTGAGTCTAGAAGATGCTTCACCTTGTATTTAGAATTGTTCTTTTAACAATTCTCTCTAAGGAATCAAATGCAACGATTAAAATTGTTAAGAAAACTCGTCAACTGACTTTAGGTTGAAAAATTAAAAAAAAAAATAAATATTACATCACGAACAATTCTTAAAAACAATTATAATGATTAAGGAATGTGTCAGTTTTATTCTTCATTTCAATAAAATAATGTTTATGAAGGTGGATCAATAAGTCTGTAGACTGATCCACAGTTATTAGCTGAATTTTCATTGTATAATGATTAATTGATTTGAATAATATTTGCCACAGAGTTGAAAAAAATTGTTGTGTAGAATAAATACTTTTTCATTAACTTACAGACTTGATTTTTTTTTGTTATCCATCCATGAAATCAAAGCATTTATCTATAATTAAAATACCTGAAAAAAAAATAACCTTTATAAATTTTTCTATATCCTGACAGTATAAATTTATAAAGTTATTTTGATAATAATTAGAAATCGCCTGGAAAACTTCATGGTTTTCCTATTTGAATTTTTTCCATGAATCTTAATTCTTAAGATAATGATTGAATAAGTTCCTTGTGAATTCTGCAACTATAAAATACCTGGGAGGAATTCCCCCATGATTGCCTTGTTAAATATTTAAGCTTTAACAACTTTAACAAAATATTGTAATAGCAATCATAAATATGAATGCAGGTCATTATTTAAAGAAGTAAGAGGGTACAAATGAAAATATTTAAAATTAACAAGGTTTTCTATTTTAATGAAGCAGACATTAAACACATGAGAGCATTATCCTCCTATGTCTTCTCTCTCTCTCTCTCAGATGTCTTTTCCATCTTTCCTCACTATCAAAAGAAAATATTCAATTATTTATGAAATATTGGAAGGTTGTAATGTATGTGCTAACAAAGGAACAAGAAGAATTTTTTTTTCTAGATTTTCTTTCTTTGATAGCTAAAGTTTTTCAACTGGTCCTGTCAAAAAAGAGGCAGACAATTTATCTTGCCCAAGAGAGACCAAGAAGTGTACATTCAGTTCTAGTATTAATTCTTTCAAAGAGTATAATGAAAAAAAAAAAAAAAAATTATATAAGATAAGACATTTTTCTTTGTTGAGAGTATTATTATAAAAATAATTTATTATCATTGTCTTTTCAAGTTACCTACATGGATCAAACATGAACTGGCTGACTCATTAAAAGCACCTGAAGTGATTCTTACAAGTGAGGAGGAGGAGAAGCTACTCAGAAAAGGAGGAGGAGGAGGAAGAGTTGTACCTACTTTGAATATTCCTTTTTCTCAAGATCTCAATTCAGCAACAGAAGGTAAAGTTTAAAATCATAAAGTGAACATCACTTACCTAAACTTGATCAGACTCGGTGGGCTATGCACACATATGCCCACACAAAAAATAATACTTGTACCCTTGAGTTGGTCAATTCCACTGAATACTGATGCAATATATATATATATATATATATATATATATATATATATATATATATATAAGTGAACATTGAAGTCAACACTCAGCAGTGTCCAGCATGAAACAGCCTGTCGCCCCTGGGTTTTGACTTCAATGTTCACTTTTATATTTATATTTACATATGCCCTATCTCTGATATTGACCACTTTATCCCATAAATATAGCACATCTCAAAACTATATTTCTTCATATATATATATAAATATATATATATATATATGATGTAAAATTCACTTATAAGTCTGCAATCCAAAAGTCAGGAGGTGCACTCGCTTTCAGAAGGATCCATTTTGGCTATGTGAATTTCAAAGAACTTTTTTTTAATCATTTCACCCCAAACAAGACAATAAAGCTACTAAGATGCAAGGGGGTTAGTGAGGATGAAAGAATCTGAGAAAAGACTCAAATGAAAAAGAGTTTGGTGGTTTCCTTTGCTGACAACCATACTTTCCTATTTTCAAGCAATTGATACTTAGTCCTTTCTTCTTGCTTTCCTTTTCTCACTTTTCTGGGTTTTCCTGTAGTTTCCTTTCTCTGTCTGCTATCAACACTGTGTCATTTGCATATCTTACGTTAAGATTTTTGCTGCCAATAAATGATGTGACACAAGGCCAAAGGTATAGAGCACCCAATAGTGACAATCGAACTCACTATTCAGTCATAATTGATCTGGAAAGACAAGATTAATACTCCATCCAGTATTGTCAGCAAATGAGTGATTACTGGAGGCAACAAACTTTGTTTTTCTAAGGTTACCCAAAACAGCAATGACTAGCTTAGATTTTTCTTTCTCAGTCTTCATAAAATCCTTATCAACTTGCTTAATGGATTCAATTTTTTTTCTTGCTTCAATGCTGCAATTCATTTATAGAATAGCTCAGATATCTTGTCTAGTTTAAAGTACCAGCCAGTTTTGAGCTGACTTTGTAAACTTTTTATTCATTTTTACTTTTTTTTATTTATTTTTACTTTTTTATTTTTATTTTATACTTTTTATTTATTTTTTACTTTTTTATTTCTTTTTTATTTTTTATTTATTTCTTTTTTACTTTTTATTTTATTTTTTATTATTTATTTTTTTACTTTTTCTTTATTTTATCTTGATACATTTTGGTTAATTTCCAGTAAACACGGAATTGGGTTTAATCTATTTATCTCATCCAAGTATTATACTCTCCCTAAATTTTTTTACATTCAACCAAACATACCTAAAATTGATTGTTTCAATTTAATTTTGAAAATTCTACAAAACTGGTTCCTAACAGTGTGTTATGAATGACAAAACATGGCATAAAATGGTGTGCTAGAAAATCATGTCAAAATGGCTCAGATGGTGAAGAAAGTACATCAAGTTTTATTAGTTCCTTTCCAATGAATGGCTGTTGACAATCCATATATGCAGTTAAACAGCTTCAAAATATAACTTTGTGATACATGTTATACTGTGTCACAATTGGATCTATTTCTGATTCATTCTTGCATACTGGCCAGATGTGAACGCCACAAAGACAGAAGATGAAATAACAAAAGTCATCTCTGCACATTAGGCTCCATGCATCACATCCAGCCTATGAAGCAAGCTCCGGCAGTGGCCAATCATGAAAAAGAAATGCCTCTGGGGTCTACCAGACCCACTTAAAAACAGGTCTTTGAGAAAAACCAGAGCAGTTATGGCCCAGTGAGGCCACCTGCCATCATGCAGGGCACTGCTGCTGTTGCTGCCACCGCCACTGTTGCCACCTACACTACCATCACTTAACATGACCGCACCTCTCAATGACCATTACTGTTCCCAGGCTTGACTAACCACCTCAGCTATTTAATTTCAACTTGATATCATCTCACATTCGAATCTGCATCCTATGTATTGGTAAAGTCAGATTTGTGACTTTTCCTGATTCTTAACACTTGCAAACACCTTGGCAACCTACCACCATCACCTCCCCTCATGCTGGGAGGTCTTGGGTGACAGTGTCAGTTCAATAATAAAGTTGCATTCTTCTCTCTCAGGCAGATATAAAAGAATTTCAACACAGGGAATTTTAACTTAGGTATTTTATTAGCATTCATGTTGACATGTCCTATCTATCCAGTGGGGGTCATTCACCTTCACTGGGGCGCCATTCTAGACATAAAAGAGAATATGTAAGAACCAACTCACTGTAAAGGCTTTCTCTGTCTATCATTCCCATGCTGGCTCAGCCAATCAAAATCGCCTTCCTTATTTTGTCTTCCATTTGACCTTGAAGGTCAACCTCAGGATGTCCAAGCACAGATACCATTCCCCCTAAAAATAATACCCTGCTAAACTATTATTTAACACTTCTTCAATTACTCAACTCAAAATAGGATCTCAATAAAAAAACCAATGTCAACTCTGGCTTAAAACTTGACAAAAAAATTTTCTGTTTTAACATCTTCATTTTTATTGCTATTATTAAATTTTGTACCTCTGAGAAAAATATATAAAAAATGTTTCTTTTTGTTGGGATTCTTATTTTCTTTATTTATTAATAATTTTTGGCAGAAGAGAGCCAGTTGAATACTGAAGGAAATATTGACAGTTCCAGATGGTCAACATCAATGACGGCTGAGGAGACACCAAAGGTGAGTGTGATTCCCCCCCCCCCCAAAAAAAAATAAATAAAAGAGAAATAAAATCAAAGACCAACTCTTGTAATCCATATTGGATTTTCTTGGAGATTATTTAATTTTTTTTTCCCCTTAATCTATTTAGGACAATTTCAAAGAAAAGTTCTACTTTTTAGAAGAAAAGAAAATTATAAGACTTGACATATACACTCACCTGTCACTTTATTATTCTGATTGGTTGGATGCACATGCATGATTGAAATCTCTGGTTTCTACCACATACCAAAAGTGCTCTATGAAATTACAATCCTATCACTGTGATCCTTCTCTGAACTACTACATCACCAAAGGATTTTGATCCCTAAAATTGCTGCTTACTGGATTTTTTTCTAACCATTCTCTGTAAATCTTAGAAATGGTTATGCATAAAAATTTCAGATGAAATTTTTTTTTTTAAATACCCAGATCTGCCCATCAGGTACTATGTTTAAAGCCCCTTAAACTAACTTTCTTTCCAATAATAATGCATGAAATAAAATTCAGCAGGTTGGCATTACCACATTTAATTATCTGCCGTCATTAAATTGCTGCTATGTTGTTGACTGATTAAAAATTTGCATAAAAGAACATATTGAAGTGGACAGTGAGTGCATATAAAATGCAAAATAGCCCTGTTTCATGATGACAATCATTTTTGTTGCAATGTCACATATGCATGTGCTCAATATTCTGGTCATTACAAAAAAGTACTGCATATCCCCACCACCACATCACTTTGTTGCTTTGTGTTTACAACTTTCATTCTGTTTTAATTCCAATTGATTTATATCTATTATAAAAAAAAAAAAAAGTATAGGTTATCTCCTCTTGGAGATAGCCTATACTTTTTTTTTTATAATAGGTATAACCTCTACCTACCTGCTGATAGAAAGATGGCTTCATTTATCTGATAATAATGGGTAAGACCCAAAATCAGGTGCCAAATGGAATTTAGGCACCAAAGCTGAGAGGCCCTGACAACCACAAATGAAACAGACATGCTTTTAGTCTACTCCAAGAACAGGTGATGCTGACCACAAGCAAACCTGAATAATACAAGGACAATCAGCTATTGGAAGAAGAATATGAGCAGCATCAGATAAGTGTTTCAATTAATTTCAAACAGACAAATGTATTTGGATATTGTCCCTGATGCTATGACTTTTAACTGCTAAAGCAATACGTTTTTAGCAATCCTCTATTCTCATTCTGGTTGTATAATGTATTTCTTATATAAAGTATGTTTTTTAAACTTTTTGGCCTGTCTCTGTTTATCATGGCATGAAAAAATAACTGCCCCCCCACCTCCACCTTCTGAGCTTACTTTTTTATTTAGCACAGATCTGACATTTAATTGGTTAATCAAGACACACCCACTAGTCTATTTTTAATTCTGACCTTATGTCACCACTTTTATCTTTCGGAAAAGAGGTAATACTTTGCTTTTGAAATTTTCTTAAAAATCATTTAATCACCAGTTACTTACCATTACCTGAAGAAGTACAAAATATTGAAACATGAAAACTTTTGTGTAGCGATTTCAACATGTTTTTATTATAATCTCTTATATATATTATTATTATTATTATTTTTATTATGTGTGTGTGTGCTATGTGCAAAAGTTTCCATCACCTTTTTTAGAAAGTTTTACATTGAATACATAGTGAGAAAAAAAAAAGAATTTTATTATTATTATTATTGAATGAGAGAGCAGAACAAGAAATGAAACTGGAATATAAATACAAAAATTCTAATATATCTATTCTGTCTGATAAGTGTACACAACATGATGATAGCTTTTGATAAAAGCAGTACGTGTAACCTTGCAGGTGGATACCAATTAGAAATACCTTCAAATCGGGAAATCAATCCACTCTCCAATCGAGTGGGCTCTCAAATATTTACATGACTCCCAAGTCATCTTGGCTGCCTTATCCATTAAATTAAGAAAAAAACACCTCTCACCACCCAACCATGATGCTTTCTCATTGCTCCCGCCCATAAACAGACATGCCCAACGGGTTATGGTCAATTGCCTGACAAGGAAATCAGTGATACTGTGATACTGAATGGGATTTTACTGTAACTTTACTTAATTCACCAAGATAAAGTACGCAAATGTTAATACTTCCAATCAATTAAGATCAGAGAACCATAACTACTGTAGTGTATTATTATTATTACCCAAAATATCTATACTTCTTAATTTTTCTGATTTGTTCACAGAATCCAGAAAAGTCAATTGATGAGGTCGAAGGTGCTTTAAAGGTGAACAAAATGGATAAACACTTAACCTCCTCTACAGGTTCAGATACGAACACAGACAAGTCAACATTCAGGTAACAAATCTCAAATAATAAAAGGCAAATGTCTTTCTTCTCAATGTTCTTCGATAGAACTTCTGGACAGAAGTTATTAATTTCTAGCAGTTTTTTACTATATAAATCTTACTGAACAACTTGATCTTCAGTGGTTGGAACTTTCAGTTAAAGACAAGACTGTTATACTCTGCTTCAAACTAGATCTCTTTCTAATTCAGTTGATTGTTGCACTTGCTATAATATATATATATATATATATATATATAAGTGGCTATAAATAATATCCAATGTCAATAACACGACTCAGAGTTTTGTGCAAACAGGCAATCTTAAGGTGCAAAAAACTCACTGACCATTAGTGAATTTTGCGTTCTTATGGTGATGATTTAAAAGTGTAAATCAGACACAACATGGGACAAGGCAAGGCTTGGATCAAAGTAATTCATTCAACGATCAGCCACGGGGATCGGACATCGAACAGACTGGCTGGGCAAATATCACAATGTCATAATTGGTGCTAGTAACCATGGGATTCACCCAGGGTTGCCAACATCATAAAGTAACACTAATGCAAAAGCCTGCAGTTACGTGTATTAGATAAGAAGAAAATGAACAGTTTCACCTTGCAGGGAAAGGTGAACCAAGAAAATTAAAGAGGAAAATGGAGTTGGGCTAAATGAACCTTGGCTTTTAGGGCGTAAAATGGAAAAAATGTGACACTGACATTGGTGATCCATTGCACTATTTTGACATATTTAGAATTTTTTTTCTTATTGCATTAATATTTGACCTGAAGACTTGTTATAAGAATAATCAGTTTCCAACCAGAACAGTACGTTGATGGGTTGGAACCAAGCAGACCCCACCTAAATGAATCTGTTTTAATTTACCTTCAGCAGCAGCAGCAATGCCAGTGAGAAGAATCACTTCAGAAAATCAAGTTTAACATCAAATAATTCCAAATTGAATAAATCAAGAGAAGTTCAGCTTCCAGCCAAGGCAAAGTCACCATTCTCTTTAAAACCAGGACCTCAAAGAAACTCCTCAAAAACACCAACAAAAAGGCAAGTAGTATGAATATTTTTTTCTTTTTTCTCTCTCACTCTTATGCATAAGATTGCCATATTGCAATACTGAATTTGGCTACATTTGAAAGTTTAGCACTTTTAAATTTTGACTTTTTTTCTCATCAGTAGCCTATGTTAGCAGTGGCATAGGTAGTGGGTGTGTCACTGTTGAGTTTACCCCCCCCCAATCTCCACAGAAAATACATACTGCACAGCAACTCATTATCAAAGAATGCATTGTGTACCATTATAATGTTACTTTCACATACTTAAATATAGTATGCTTTAAATACACACCAAATATACTTAAATTTTATCAGTAACAGTAAAAAACAGAACCAACAATGGGGGGGGAGCATAACGAATTAGGGTCGTCTCTATTTCTGAAATGAAAATTAAAACTTTTTACAAAGTAACTTTTCTTGCCTTTTTGTTGGCAAATTCTTCAATGACATCATCAAAAACTACTTCATCTGTTCAATTGTCATTCTATGAACAGATAGATCGACCAATATATGTGCCATAGTTACTCAAAATTGAAAAGATCTTTCAACTGTGAGTACTGTCCCAACATTAAAACCACTTTTATTTCAATACAGGCTTATAGATGACAGCAGACTCAAAAGTGCTGTTCTATAAAAGTGCTGCCTGGGGTGGGGACAGCCCCTAGTTATGCCACTGCATGTTAGGTCAGCTTATTCTAAAAGCCATCCCCTCCCAATGTCAAATAGCAAAATCATGCTCATCTTTCAAAAGTTGTCTAATCTGGAAATCCTGATTTATTAAATTCTTGACCTTAAAGGGGACTTTTTAATCTGACGAAATAGAAACTGAATGTCCCGTTTTTTTTTTTTCTGTTCTCTCTCAGAACTCTTTTAGGACGCTATGTTGTAAATCGTGGCATCACTTCCCTGGGGAACCAAAAAAAGCGAGAAGATGTTCTTATGGTAAGTTGTTTAAACTATTTATGATATTTCTCAATTCATTTTATTTGGTAATACGTGAATTCTGAAATGGTAAGGTACATTGAAGAAAAGAACTGGATTTTCATGATGAGGAGTTGACGAGAGAAGACATTATTCACCTGCTATGAAAAGAATTCATGTGGCAACATGCATTGTTTGTAGCCACAAGTCAAATTGATTTTGGTGAGATTCAAACCAGTTGGTGTTGATTTATCCGAGTAGAGTGAATGCACAATAGACAAGCCAGGATGTTGGGAGAGGGATGCAATTTGCATATGCAAATCTAATCCAAACACCCAGATCAAGTACTTTGCAATAGAATAAAAGCATTGAATGAGATTGACACAGGGGAGTCAAGAGAAAGACATTTTTTAATGTTGTTCCTAAGGACAGCCAGTGTGAACAAGAAACCAAGATGACCGATCATGTTTCTTTTCTTTTTTTTGTCTTTTACTTCACTTTCTTTTTTTACTTCAAGTTATTTTGGCAGTGCCACCTATTTATTGATTTGCCCAAAATGGTAAAGGAGAAAGATGTAATGAAGCTTCCATGGTGATAGAGATGTGGTAGTATGGCTCAAGAAGGTGCAACTGGTGGCAAGACTCCAGAAATAGAAGATGTGACAAGCCTTTTACCTTTGTATTTGGAGATTGACACTGGGGAGTTGAGAGAAAGGCATTCTTAATGGTGTTTCTAAGGACAGCCAGAGCAAGCAAGAAACTGAGATGATCAACCATGTTTCTTTCCTTTTGTCGTTTACTTCACTTTTTACTTCAAAATGTATCTTAGTTTTTATCTACATTGATGCGTCATTAAAGAATATTTAAGGACTTCCAAAGATGTTTTAGTTCAGAAAACATCAATAGAGTCCCTGCAAGTGCTTCTCTGTGTGTGGGTGTGCTACATACACACACCTGCTATTTGAGGAAATATTTCACCAGACATAAAGACATGACCCTAACTCATCTCTCATACCTATATTGATAGAATTTTTACCAAAATTTTGAAACTGTACCTAGATTTTTTTTTTAACATACTCTGGTTGTTAGCTAAAAAGGACATCCCAAAATGCAAATTACAAATTGGAGAAAGCAAAATCAAACAAGTACAACAACTTGGAAGATATATGGGAAGCGTTTTAACAGAATGGAAAGTGTGACACTGAAATCCGAAGACACAGTGGCATAACAAAAGATGACATCCAAAAGCTAAGAAAAGTATTAAAGAAACAGAAAAATTTCATTAGAAACAAAGAAAAGAGTACTGAACTGTTATGTAATATCAGTCCCCCTATATAGTAGTGAATGCTGAGAAATCTCCTCACAGATGAAGAAGAGACTTGAAGCAATAGAAATGTGGTTCTACAGAAAGATGCTGAGAATAGCTTGCACTGAACATTTGAGAAAAGATGACATCTTCAAGAAAATGGATCCAAAAAGGTCACTTCTATTTAACATGAGAAAGAGAGAACTGAAATTTCTGTTGTACATAACAAAGACGAGCTTGTACTCAGAGAACAGTAAAACAATGCATAATAAACTTGAGTAAATGGACCCTGGAAAAAGGTTTAAGAGAGATAACAAAAAAACAGTAAAATTTATTAAGGGCTATAAAGGACAGGAAATTGTGGAGAACCATGACCATTAACAACCTGAAGGGGCATGGCATATAGAAAAAGAAGTGACAGAAACTTCACAAAAATGTCCAAAATGAAAATGTTCTTAAATTTTAAAGCTGTTTTCTCATTATTTCCTGTTTTGGTTTAAACATTTGCTGGCACAGGAATTTGTTACATCACAACAATGTATCATACTGGGTCGTTATACAGAGGTACGTATCCACCCTTATCCATATTTGTGTTCACCAGATGATTGTTCGGATCTGCCAATAATTACTTCTGCCTTCTAAGAACATTTGACGGTGGTATAAACAGCTTCGAGAGAGTGGGTGTCTGTGTAAAGGAAAAAGTTTAGGACAACCATGAGTTTTGGAGGAACAAGTGGCGAGAATCCGTGCTGCATTTAAGGGGAGTCTATGGAAGTCCACAAATCAAGCTAGCCGTGAGCTTGCGATTTCTCAATCCACTATCTGGTGTGTGCTAAGAAGATGTATACATTTGAAACCTTACAGACTGCCTCATTCATGCACTTACCAAGACCTTGCTCTTGGCCTGTGAGATCCCCAGATCTCACCATGTGTGGGTTTATTTCTTGTGGGGATACATAAAAGATCACATTTATGTTCCACCGCTACCTACTAACCTCAATGACCTTAAACATCAAACAACAACAGCGATCAACTCAATGAATCGTGATATTCTGATGTGTGTCTGGGAAGAATTCTCTTATCGCATTGATGATGCCCATGCTGCAGGTGGTGGCCATATTGAACACTTGTAAGATATGAAATAAAAGTTGATTGTGAGTTAAAATACTTGTGACTTAGCTAAAGTTTTCTATTGCTTTTCCTTATTGTGTAATGAAATCAGTTCATTCTTTTTGCATAACCCTGTATTTGTATATATAAGAAAAAGAATGTAGTATGCATGGGATGGGAGGAGGGATTAGTAAACTCTGCCTTTTCAAGCATCTACTGGATGGGCAAAGGGGAATACTTGCAGTAGTGGGGGGGCTACTATTTTCTATAAACTTGCTATACATATGAACATTTTGTGTTATCCAGTAATAAAGAGACTTAATGGTGCTTTGGTATGTTTGGCCATTGGCATGGTCATTTAGGCACCAAATGATTTGGCACCAGACTTTTTAGCATATAGCCATGATTTGCAGTAATTTCTTTTTGTTCACGATGCCAAAATTTCAACATGCTGTCAGCTTTGCACAAGCATTTTGTTCTTCTGCCATCTTTTTATATTTTTTTAACTAAATATCTTTGTTCTATAAATGATGAGATATTTATGAAATGTGATGGCTGAGGAGATATTTATGAAATGTGGTAAAGAAAAATTTGTGCATAATGGATTCGTCTACGTCTCTGACAAATTGAGAGAAGATAACAGCCAGTTGAAATTTTGACGTTATGCACCAAAAGATTGGTGCAAATTATGGCTCCATACTAAAAATTCTGGTGCCCAGATGACCATGTCAAAATGCCAAACAGTTGCACCCAATCATCCCATTGCAATTTAATAGAAATATTTTAAATGAAAAACTTTTGTAGAACCTGTAAAATCTCAACTTTGTGAAGATCATTTAAAAAAAAAAGTGAGTAGGGAATTGATATAAGAATGATTCTTTTATTCATGTTGTTTTATGAAAGATTTTTAAAAAAATTATTTTTGTTTCTTTTGAAAAATAGAAAGAACTTGAAAATATGAAAAGTGAAAAAAGGAAAGTTGAAATTCAACTGGAAGGCATCAAAACCCAATTAGAAAATTTAAAAGAAAATCAACAAGAGGTTCTCAGAATGAAAGAAGTGAGTAAAATTGTCACATGAAAAGAATCCTTTTTATATAACTTTCTTTTTCAATAACATACCAGGTTGACATTTATTTAAACAAGTTGAAGCTGAGTGAAATTTCACTTATATCATCATTAAACTTATCTACATGCACACATTGGGGTGAATTTGAAGTAAGATTTTTTTATCATTATTATTTAACTTCTCAACAGCATGTGTATCCAATAATGGCATCCCAAATTTCCAGGAATCCATTCTATAAAGGCAGGTTATCTTTAGGAACATATTTTGCATATTTTCTTTTCAATCTGAGAATGGAAAGAAATCATTTTATAGCATAAAGTTTTTCTATTAATTCTTTTTATTAAGATATTTCCAGACTGAAATTCTGTTCTCATCATATTTCTGTTAAAAAATCTGATGCTTTTTGACTCTAGTGTCATCTGCTGTGTTATGGTTTTTAGCCAAATTTGAATTGAATCGCTGCAGTTCCAAAGATCCAATCAAATTTATGACTAAAAGATTTGCCATATTTTTAACTTCAAGTTTCTTTTGTCAGTAGAAATTATTTTCATCAGAAAAAACTCTCTTTCAATCTCCACAGAACTTACAGCAATGATATTAATTATATTTTTAGCTATTATATATCGGCTATTCATATAGAAGATTATTTTCGAGTAATCAAACAACCAGTTTGCTAAGCTTTTATAATTTTAAGAATCGGTTTTTGTAAACTGGTAGGATGCCATCACTGGCTTTTAAAGTTTATGTATCTGGTATCTTTCTCTCTGCCAGCCGGTCTCTCCACCGGCATTGTGTAATTTTCTGGAAGAAATCTCAGGGTCGAAAAACTGATGATATGAAAATGATGAAAAACATGTATAAAATTTTTAAAAAAATATCCTATGTCAGTCAGGGTTACAAACACTAAATTAATTCTTCCTCAGATAAGGTACCATGTCTTGGTAAATAACAGTTAACTTACTAAGGAGCTATTCTTCATGAGAATGAAGAGGTTGTAGAAAATCGGATTTGGTGTAGTCTGAGAACAGTAGAGCTGAGTCTTAATGGCAAACCTTCATGGCTAGGATCTGCCATGCCACTTACATGGTAGCAAAACCCACCTACATTCCCTTTGTATCCCATTGGTTTCACTTGAACAGCTTCTTCCCATGAACCACTGACCTGTGGAACAAACTCCCAAGAGGATGTTTCCCTGATCACAACACTCTTAACCTGTTCAAGGTTATGGTTAACTGTTATCTTCCACTCCTATACACACACAAAGGGGGCCTAATGTAATCCTCTACCGGAAGTGTGTGTCCCCCACCCCATCCTGGACATTGTAAAGGATAAACCTGACTGTTAAAAAAAAAAGAAAAAAAGAAAGAAACAGAAAGAGAAAGAAAAATGAAATTAGAGAAAGGCAAGTAATGAAGACAGAGAGAAAGACTGAATAAAAAAAAAATAGTTTGTTGTATTATAACACCTTTCACTGCCACTTACACCTGGCGGTGTAACCATGTTTAGTGGCCTGGTCGTCGTGCATTTTAACCACAGGGCTAACTCTGCACAAGATCATGTTGATGCTGGCCCAAGCTGGTTGTTGGTCACTGGGCACTTTGATCCACACCAACTCTGCCCACACTGTGTTCTTGATCTTAGTGCAGTGGAAGATCAAAGATCTTGGTATAGCAGCATTGGTCCAAGCTTTGGCAGCTGCTATATTAACAAAGAAAAATATCTTTATGTTGAAAAATAAAATGAAAGATTCATGAGGTTAATCTTCAATTGGATTTTTTAGCTCTTGAGACAACAAAAATTAACTCCCCCCACATCAATCTCTATAGAGACACTTGAGCCTTTTTTCTTTCACTTCCCCATTACCAGGGAAAACATCTTTCATTATCTCTCTATATATATCTTCCAGTTTATATTTCATTTTGGGCTTTTAACCCTTTTTCTGCTTAAAATTAACATTTAACTACTTCCCAGCTTCAGTGTCATAGTATGTAATATTTGTGTATTGCTTTTTTTATTTATTTTTTTTTCATGACATTTAAATAAAACCATTAAGATTGGATGGGATAAGGGAGACTGTGAGAAGATACAGACATGAAAGTGTCAGCACCTGTGAAATTTTCATCTTATTTGTTGCAGCAGTTTATTTATTTAATAATTATCATTTAATTCACTGAACATTTTTTTAAACTTATTTCTTAACAGGAAAATGACAAACCCCTTGAAGATGAAATTGACCGATTGAGACAGAAACTTCAAAACCGTGACCAAGAAATCCAAGAGTTTAGCAAAATTGTACAAAGTCTAAAGGTAAAGGGAAAACAGTTTCATGCTTTTGCTTTCTTTACCTGCAACATTTAGCATTATTTTTCTTAAATTTTTTTTTAAAAAAAAAAAAAAAAAAAATATTTTTTTATCAGTTCAAAGGAGTAGGAAATTATTTCTTTATAGAAGAACTGAAAACTCAAAACAGACACACACAGACACACACAGACACACACACAGACACACAACCACATACACTCTTCAATGTTCCACAATGAGAAAAAAAGCCTGAGTAAAGTTCATTCTGGTTTCTGGGTCTCTTATCTGAAAATGGAGACTTGATCAATTTCCTAAAAATGACACAAGATACAAGTAATTTTAGCAAATATAACAGACACCTGATGATGGTCAGAGAGTACAACAGACAAAACCTTTTGACATAGAACATGTATATTTATTTTCATCTACTGGCCTGAATATTTAAGAAATCTTATTAAAGATTTCTTTAATATTAAGGTCAGTAGACAAAAATAATTTCCTATTTAAAATAAACAGAATTTATTCAAAATTGGTAATTCACTAAAAATAACATTTAAAATTATAAAAATATGTTGGATTAATAAATAAATAAAAGTCCAATACTACTTTAGAAATATATACACACACACATACACACACACATAGATATTGGGTTGTCTGGAAAGTTCATGTTGATTTTTAGTCATTCATGCTCCATATGTTAGAATATATCAAATTTATCAACAGATATAATATGCTTACATTTCCGATTAGAGCACATTTCAAACTATCGCTTGAAAAAGTTCATTGTCAATTTTGTATCCGCATGAAAATGGAAGATTATAAGGTCCATTCTAAACACTTGATCCTTTTTTTATTACTGTAAAGGCAAAAATGCCTTGTAAGCAACAAAAAAGATACATGCTGTATATGGTAAAAGTGCTTTAGTTGACAGAACTGTATGGAAGTGGTTCACAAAGTTTAAAGTTGGTGATTGTAGCCTTATTGATGAAGAACGCTCAGGCAGATTCCCTTCTCCCCCACTAAAGATGACTATGAAATCAATACATTGATTGAGACTAACTTGTATTACACAATATGGGAATTAGTAGAAACACTAAATTTATCAAAATTGGCCATCCATGAGCACTTAGAGAAGCTTGGGTACTCAAATCACTATGATGTTTGGGTACCACATGATCTGAGTGAAGAGAAGCTTTTGGATTGCATTTATATCTGTGATTTGCTGCATAAATGCAATGAAAATGCACCCTTTTTGAAGCAAATTATGGCAGGTGATAAGAAATGGATAATTTACGATAATGTTCAGCAAAAAAGATCCTGGGGCAAGTGACATGAGCCAACTTTATCCACCTCAAAAGCAGGTCTTCATCCTAACAAATTCATGGTGAGATGGGAAAGGAATCTTGTATTATGAGCTTCTGCTAAGTAAACAGTCAATTGATTCTAAAAAGTACTACTTGCAACTGGACAAATTAAAGACAGTAATACAAGAAAAACACTCAGAATTGGTGAACAGAAAAGGTGTTTTCCATCAAGTTAATGCCAGACCTAATATTTCTTTGGCAACCCAGAAAAATTGTTGCAGCTGGGATGTGTTACCCCACTCACCATATTCACCAGACATTGCTCCTTCGGATTTTCATTTATTCAGGTCCTTGCAAAATAATCTCAATGGTAAAAATTTTAATACTTTGGATGTCATAAAGAAAACTACCTTAATGAGTTTCTTGCTAAGAAACCATTGAAATTGTGGGAAGATGGAATTTTTAAGTTGAAGGAAAAATGGAGAAAGGTTGTGCAACAAAATGGTTCATATTTAGTTGAATAAATATTTAATGGCATGATTTTGTTATGTGTTTTAATTTCTCTTAAAAACGGCATGAACTTTCTGGACAATTCAATAGATAGATAGATGGCACATATATATATATATATATATATATATATATATATATATATATATATATTATTAAGGAAAAACTTGGTTATAAATTATTTCAACAGGTAAGTTTTTAACATCCATCTCATCAGACCAAAATTACAAATGGTTTAAATTTATCCAGAATATTTTTAAAAAACAAGATAACAGGAAATGCTTAACCTAGAAAATCTATTTTCTGGGGATTTATAATATTGAAGACATATGTAAGGGAGGAGGGGTTGTTAGCTTTCAACCTGATTTTCATGTGTGGTTGTTGGGAGAACATAGTAACAGCTAAAATACTAACACATACATACATACACACACACACATATATAAAAAGGGAGAAGAGAAAATAATAAATTAACAAATAGAAAATAATTTAAATAAAATAAATGATTATATAATACAAAATATATATATATCTATATATATATATATATATATATATATATATATATATATATATATATATATACACACACACACATATAAATATATACATATAGGGGAAGTGAAAATGATATATTACAAAAAGAACAAAACAACATCTTAAATTCAATATCTAATTCATCTTCATATTTATAGAATCCAATTCCAACACCCATATATACACACACACACACCTGCATATATATATATATATATATACACACCCAAATACATAAATATAAAAACTGAAATCAAGGTATATTACTTTCAATAATTAACACAAAATAATTTTATATCTGCAAATAAAATAAGTTAGACTAAAATTTTATTTATAAGATAAATTAAATTTATTTTTATGATAACATTTAAATATGATCTCATTCCTTTGGTTTAATAACTCGCTACTTTTTAAAAATTTAATTATTCTAATTTTTTCTTCCAAGCATAAGTTACATCTATTTCTGAAGCCTTTGGGGGTTTGAGATTTACCTATAATCTTCCATAAAATCTGTGTTGAGAAGTTTCTATCCTTTAATTCCCAGAAATTTTTTGAAAGAGCTGTCTAGTGTTTTAGATAAGGGTCAGAGAAAGAAAGCTTGTGATTATATAGGCTCTGCTTCTTTGGGAGAAAATGGTTGCTTAGTATATAACATTTTCAGATTTGCATATACCTCCAACTGGGCAGTTGTTTTTGACTCTACTATTATAAGAGGGTTTTTTATCTGTTTGTTTATTGTTATAAGATTTGTTTAATATTTTACTATTGTGTGAATTAATAATATTATAGATGTTATATATGCATGAGTAACTAATTTTTTAGGGTTTTCTATTAAAACTCTTACTAAGAGGGTTATTTCGGTTAAAATCTTTGTCAATCAATTTCAGGAAGTATTAACCAATATTTATATTGGATAGTTGGCAGAAAGGAGGGTTAAACAATATAACTTTTCTTTTTCTGTTTCTATTTATTTTAGTATCTTTTGAAGATTCCAGGTAAAACAATTTTTGTTTAAAGCCACTTTTTTTGAGGGCATCATTTTAAGGTATTTTATTTTCATCAAAAATGTTATTATTGGAATATAATTTATTGATTCTAGTATTTACAGTGGTAAGAATTTGTTTAATTGATAGGGATGGTTGGAGTTAACATTAATATAGATTGGAGCTTCATTATCTTTGTGATAAAGTTTAAATGTGTAATTCAAAAGGTTTAAAGTTATATCTAAAAAATTAACTATTTTAATATTCGATAAAATTCCTGTTTTAAATCCAAGGAATTTGAAAGCCCTGATGACTTTCTTTTGTATATAAGAAGATAGTGGACCATTACTATTAGGGATAACAATCATCATCTCTATACAGACCAACCTGTTTAGGCTCAATGATCCGACTAAGGGTGTTTGAAATACAGATGCCCACTAAATCTGCAATTTGAGCAGAGTCATAGGCACCCGTAGGAACATTGAAATTATATAGTGACTTTTAATCCAAGTGGAATTATTAATAGTAATGATTTTCTAGAAGCTAATATAACTTTGAATTCATCATTCATAATTTCTGCATAGATTTTTGCAAAATTTATACTTTTTAATAAGAGATGGAGGACTAGAAATCTATAATGCCGAATTGAATAAATGTGGCCTTTTCTTTATATTATGGAACCCTTTTATAGTATCAGAAGAATCTTTGCACAGATTGTTATGAGATGATTTTTGTATAGTGTTTATTATTCTTTTAATTATATTTTTAGAAATAAACCCTAGCTCAGTTTTGGAGGGATTGATTAATCTAGATTGTTGTTTGTTATTGAAATTACTCTGTATACTATACATTGAACTCTCTTTATGGATCTATCTTTTTAATATTTTTTATTAAAAAGACCTACTTGGATTATATTTTCCACTTAGAGATTTGATATTATATATATACACACACACACATATAGTTTCATACACGACACAATCTTCAGGTGCTAAACTGAGTCTCAATTCAGTACCTGAAGATTGTGTTGTGCATTAAACCCAGAGTTGTCCCAATATATAAGGAATGTGGTTTTTATTTATTTGGGAGGGAGGGAGATGGCATAGAAGTATTTTCAGTTGTATGAGTAGTACTTATTTCATCTTCATTGTTCTGTTAGAATAAAAGCAAACATAAAAATAAATACTAATCAATATTAATAATATATTAATTTAACCCTAGAACACTAACCATCAATTAAAGTTACACCACTACTAACCATGGGTATATCATACTCGATTTTGAAAATATCAAAAAAATATTAAATATAAATTTTTATTTGAAATATTTTACATGCAGGCACTTCAAACTTTGTACTTTGAGTTAACATTAATAGGAACTGAAAAACATTATTTAGATAAGAAAATCAGGTACTGAAAATAGTAATTAAAAATAGGAAAATTTGTGCTGGGTACTATATACACATGGTTAGTGTTCTAGGGTTAAAAAAATCTATACCCTCTAAATTAATCTGTGGGGTATGAATTACCTCCTTTTTTAAGAGGAGGCAGATTAAAAAAAAAAAAAAAAAGAAAAAGTAGTCTTATTTTTTTATTAAAAATTTCACAATTGAAAAAACTTGTAACCTCCAGCCTTCTTCAGGCTGCATTTAGTAATGTTCTCAGAATCCTAATCTATTTGAGCAGATTGGTTCTCTTTCTGCTGTCCATTATTTAATCTGTCTTTGAGGTTATATAAATTCCATTCATAACAACCAAGTGAATTGTAACAATAAACAAGGTTAGAAGATTTGTCCCAAATCATATTTTATAAACCAGTTAAAATACATTTTTATTTTAGACTTAATATTTGGCCATCCTATTACATTTTAGAGCAAGAATAAACTTCTTACACCTGGCAGCAGCACTTCCAATATTACAAGATGAATACCAATATTCAGGATTACATTATTTGCTATCCTCCACTTGCTTGCAAAGATTTTGTCAATAGAAATAAATAGATGTTGTATATAGATGTTTTATGCAACATCATTCTGGCTTTAATATGGATACTTGTCCTATTTTAATGATTCGTATATTGCATAAACTTAATTTAGAAAAACAAAATGGTAAAGATTAGTCATAAATATTTCTTTACATGGGCAGTATTTACGGCTATATATTGCACCTTGCAGAAGGAAAATCGTTTACCTCCTGGAACAAAACCTACTCATGTATTTCTTGGAAGAAAAAATGGCTGATCTAAAAGCTACAATTTCAGGAAAAGCTCAGAGAATTTGCGAGACAAGTTTGTGGCTTATATAAATTTCTGAGACTCAGCCATTTGATAAAATGAACATGAGTGAGAAAACCTCAGACCAGCAACAGAGGCTGATGAATTGGGTGGTTATGCTTTGTCTGTGATTGTAAAATGACAGAGTACAACTGGTACAGATGTACCTTTTTGCAACAAACTAGTTGCTTAACTCTCTATTTGTCAGAGATTATCTTACTACTCGTGAATCTTCAGGGTGTTTTTTCCTTTTTTCAGCCTAGTAAAATTATTAAGCCACACAATTCCAATAACTGATGTAAATGCACACACCTTTCAAATGGGTTGAAATATATTTGCTATAATCACAATTTGGCTACATACTATTCTTACATTTATAAAAATGAAGAGTTAATTTTCAGATTTTAAATGAAATTATTGAAAATGGAGGGAAATATTTTGAAATAAAACTCTACAAATGAAATTTATTACAAAGTTTAATCAGAATTTAATGAATTAAGCAAAATTTACTTTTTATTACAGTCAATCATTGATGACACTTCATGTCTTGTGTTACAATTTATGCTTTTCTTATTTTTTGTTTTTCAGCAAAAAGTTGAATATCTACAGATGGAATCTGTGAGTGTCAGAAATACAGTAAGAATCATTGATTTTCAATTTACACATGCACACACTTTAGTGGTGGCTGCCTGTTGCCCAACTACTGAATTCTGGTTATTACTGTTGTTATCACACATCTACAATATTGTTTTTTCTTTTTTAATTCTTCCCTAGTAAGTGTAACAGCATTGTAGTTTCTCAAATACGATATAGTTTTATAACAATTTCTTACAATAAATTTGGCTCTCAAGGTTTTTACACTTATCACTTCTTTATTATTACAAATATTTGTCTCCCTTGACATTCTCAAAATTTCCCCATTCTTTACATTTGTTATTAATTTGTTTTGTTCTTTTTGTATTTCAGGATTTGTCTGAAGACAGCAGTTCATGTGCTTCCCCAAGAGAGGAAGATTTGCAAAGATCCAAGAAAGCCAGTAAAATATGTAGCTTACAATAATCAAATTGGTCAGATTCACTTCAAGTGAATTTCTTTAACCAATTTTATAATTCCATAAGATTTGAATTCTTCTGGTCTCATAATTTAGAAGAAAAACAAGACTGACTTAAAAGAAGCAAGCAGGGAGGTTATCATGCAATTTTACTCAAAATTGGATTCTTTTCTTTTAAGACTTGAAAGATGCAAAAGAAACCAATGAAGAAATTGATGAAGTGTTGTTCATAAATTAGTTCATCTTTTCTTGGGGTGGGGTGGGGCATTCGATATTTTAACTAAAATCAAATCTTCATTCCAACAAATACAAAAAACAAGAGACGTATTTTCAAGGGTCTTCTGGCTGGTCCAGCATTGGCCATATTTATTATTACCCAACATTAAATCTTGAAAACAATTTTTAATCATATCAACTCTGCTTCACCTTGGCAACTTCTGGGGTGAAAGGACAAACAGGTTTTCTGGATAAAATGAAATAATGTGTAGCTGTGGTTTGGCTGTGCCAGACATTATTCCTTTGTTGCTCAAATCTAAACACTGGAAAATCTGAGAGTATTAAGAAGTGGGTTGCACTGGTAAATCTGTCTGCAGTTTTTTCCCCCTAATTATTCGAGTTTGGGAATATGAATAGTTGTGTGTGTATGTGAGAGAAAATGTGTTTAAACAAGCTTGTAATGCTACAATGAAGGCATATTTATTGTTAGTACACAATTGTTGCGTGTTATAATAAATTGTTATTAAAATAGAAAAATGAGTTTTGGATTAAAGTTGTTTAATCTTGTTCCTTTCTATAGAATTAGTTACAGAAGAGAAAATTTCTATCCAATATTGTTCACACATCATTTCTATACAGTCAGGTGTGGATTGAATTTCACTTGACTGTTAAACAAGAAATTCCAACCATTTAACTAAGTGAATTGAACGCATCATCAACTGTTTTTTCGATCTGTGACTTTCTCATTATAAATATCAGCATAGAGAAAATTCTCTCTGCTTTCAAAAATGTTTAGTGTTTTGGGCTTAACTTTGGACAAATATCCATTGTAGAAATCTTGACTACTCATTGGTTTCTTCAATACAACATTACGAAAGGCTACCCAGCCATTAAGACATTTCACAACTAGACTGTTGTCGGCTTTGTAATGTAATACAGTCCCTGGCACAACAGACGATGAAGAATTGAAAGTGGTTTTCTGACGGATCAGGTCATCAATATTATACTCTGCAAAAAAAAAAAGGACAGTAATGAGAAATATATTCACAACTATCTTAAATGTCGTCCAATTGGGATTGGGTGGCATTTAAGCTAGCTCCTGTGGAAGGCTCTTGATTGGGCCTTCATCACAATAGGTAGGGAGGAGTAGATGTGATAGGCAACAATAAACTACAGAAGAACTCAAAATTGATCACTGCATATTGCATTAATATTTTAAGCTTACCTTTAAAAGTTCAATGGTAATTCTTCTTAATTTAAACCCAATTTGATGTACGTAGGGCCTTACTTTCCATACAAACTTTTGCCGGATATCGCAATTAATTTTGATTATTCCAAAATATAAAAATTGTTATTGTATTAAAAAAAAGTTTGTCACAAAATTTGCCAAAACCAATCACAGTAATGAAAAGTTGGAGATCCAAAATTTCATGATTGTCGTTCTGGATACAGCTTTGAATATCTTTAATTTGCTCAAAGAGTTGGCCTTATTCCAAAATGGTATGATATGTTGGGCTATGGCCTCTAGGAATAAAGTTGGAAAAATGTGACATTTGCATGTATTATATAAATATCTCTAAAAGTCTATATAAAAAGAGCTAATTGAGTGTAATTAATAACTCCTTACAGATGTGGGGGGTGTAATGGATGGCGGCATGGAATGAGAAATTGGAGAGTCAAGTTTGAATTCTAGTCTAGATTCATTACATTCACATTTGCACAAATCCCCTTTGAAAAGGTATGGATCTATCTCTCCCTCCAGCTATGGATTAAATAGTAGGGAAGGCTGGGCTGTTCTGCTTTGGTTGGCAACCAGTCTAAGAGAAAGACAGCTCTGAATTCAAAACTGTATGTAACCCTGGCAAAGTACATCCTATGCAGCTACTAAAAGGACTGTAGAGTTTACAATGACCCTTTGATCATGACTGCAGTTGTTTAATCAAATCATTCATCAATAACTCCTTAAATTTAGCTAAAATATCTCTAGGAAAACTCTGGTATTGACTGCTGAATATTTAAGCAGCAGCATTAACTTCTCTTTCAAGTCTCACACTCATATAACAGGATTAAAACTGATCAGATCAAGTCAAAAGTGCTGGAATCCTTTTTATAATCTTAATGATAGCTAACCCATTTGAGTTCAATCTTGCAATTTAAAAATTATGGCTTCTCTGATCTTATTTCTTTTTTAACATGCCATGTTACTTTAGGAGGTAGGTGTTCATGACTTTCCATAATTCCCTTTTGTGAATTACCATAAAATCTTGGGTTGGGAAAGATAGTAGAGTGGTTTCCTGTTGCCGTCCCACAGTTAGGAATTCAGAGTTTCCCTTCTATTAGAGTAGAGAGCCCAGTCTACCTATTGAACTCATAATTGGGGGAGAAGATTCTTTCTTTCTTTTCAGTGGGAATTTGTGCAAAAGTGAATTCAACATACTAGCCCAGAATCCCCACACATTAATTTTATTTCATCTAATTTCTGTGAATTACAAAAACTAAAGTAAAATACTAACCTTTAGTGATGTCATTAAGGATCATGTCTAGTAATTTGAGATCTTCACCTTTCCATTTCGTTTTTAATGGCATCTAACAAAAGAAAATTAAAGGTGTTGGTTATAATCTGCAGTGGGAATGATTGCAAAAACACCTTACTCCTCAAATTTATAGACAAAACACAGATGCATGCAGGGATTTTGTCCTAGTTAATAAGATAGGCCACTTCAATTTAATTCTGTTCTTTCTTGTCTTGAAGTCAAAACGCTGTGATCACTTGTCTGTATCCCTATTATGTTAATAACATTCTTAGTTTGTGAAATTCTTACCTCATTATTGTTGTTTTACATATATATTGTTTACTTAATATTATTTTTGCCCTGTTCTTTTCTTTCATTATTGTTTATTAGAAACTTACTTCTGTTTATTAGGCATTTCTACCAATTATCTTTAATCATAGACAATTACTTTACAGAAAGGATAAAATATAAGGTCATTTTTTTCTTCAATTCCTTGGCATTCAAAATTGTAAATAATTTATTGGAAAAAATATATTTTACATATCTCACAGTATTTAGATGTGTTTCTTTACATAATAACAATTGATGTTGAGGCCAGCAATATAAAATGCTAAAATACAAAGCTGTTAATTTCCAACACTACTGCTCCACCCTTAACTTATCAACTCTTTTAGTTTCAATGACATTTCAAAATGTTTTCATTGAAATTATAACTTTTTCAGAAAAGCTTATATCAAAAGAAGAGGTCTTTGTTAGACACTTGTATTGACAGTGGGGAGTGGAAGAGAAAAAAAATATTCTTTGTGAGCCATCATATATATATATATATATATGTGGATACAATATTGAGTGATCACAAATGTCTATAGTCAAAGAGGGAATTGAATAAGCAACAGTAAAGTTCTCATTTATTTAGAGAGAACATTAACATTGATCTAAAGATTTTGTGAAAACAGAAAAACGTTTTGGTCTACTTTACCATTTCATGAATTGCTCGATACTGTCTTTCTATTTGAACTGCTGTCTGGTCTGCCCAGTTAATGTAAGCCATGTAAGGTTTCACCTTGTGGGCTACAACAACAGAAAATACATAGGAAGCCTTATAAATATACATGACAGAGAAAGAAAGAAAAATAAACAAAACCTATATTTGTTTAGGCTTTGATACAATGGGTAGCACTGATTAACCATGATTGATTTTTTTTAATCTACTTTCAACAGAAGGCCTATTTTAAAACAACAGTCATAAATGACATAAGTGTGAGTTCAGTCCCTGTCCTTGGCTAGCAATACCTGAGAAGTACTAAATAACAAAAAAATTGAGATAACTCTTTATTTAATCTATGGATAAGTTCAAAAATTCCTTCACAGACATCTGAAGAGGAGCAGAGTACACAACAGCAAAAAGGATGTTAGGCCTTCATAAACTCCTGTTTAGTATAAATATGTGTTTGTGTGGATCAGGAAGATTAATAAACAAATGTTTTCTAACGACTTAACATATCAACAAACATCAAGAAAGGGAAATTTAGGAAAATTCCTAATTATATACATATATATATATATATATATATATATATATATATTACAGGTGTCATCTAGCAGACATTTCAACTGTAAAATGATGAGACCTTGCTGTCAATCTAGTACTGTTCTTAAATTCATATAGTTTACGTACCACAGAGTAAAGTTCACCAAAACAATTACCATGAAAGTAATTTAAAAAAGGCACATGGAAGCTACATTATAATGGCGAAAAAGTGACTGAAGCCAAGATGCTAGATCAGGAACAACAAAATTGCTTATTAATATTATAATTACTTTATATATAAAATTAACCCTACTGAGGATTTATCGAAAATATGGCAAATATGACTGAGTGTTGGATTTGACTTTAATATATCAACAATAAATGGTCAGTGTACTCACCATAAGTGATGCCATGGTGACCTTGTTCATTCTCCAAACTTTCCAGGCAGTTCAGCTGACAAAGCGTCTCCAAAAGCTGAAAATATAAAAAGAACACAACATGAATGGAAAATCTATATATAAAATTCTGTGACTTCCATTGGTCCATCCATGACATTTTGGGGGGAGAAGTGCAAACAGGTAAGTGAGAACAAAGTACAGTTGGTTTTACTAGGGTGCGTAGACTACTACAATAAATTTTCATTAACTTTTTTTTTTGAAAAACTTCAGTTTTATTATTTAACATGTAAAATACTCCCACTATTTTAAAAAGAATTCAGTTTCTAGTTCACAAGAACTATAAATAAATGACAATGCCAAACACTTCAAAAAGTTGGAATTTGGCTCCAGAAAGAAATATTTATGCATGGCTAGTTGTAAGTTGCATGCTCGAGAGTAAGAAATCTTAAGAATTTATTCTTTGCTGTTATAAAGGAAAAAAAGAAATTTTCCTAGAAAATATTGTTTACCATGAAGTCCAATAAAATTAAATTAAATTTACAAACTTATTAAACTGCAAAGTAACATTTTTGTCAAAGCATTTTTCCAAAAAAATCAGCTCATTCTAATTTCATCAATTGGTTTGCAAAAAATTCTAGTATTTTAAATGTTCACAAGAATATTTCATTTTTTTTTGTATTTCTATCTAATCTACCCAAAGAGAAATCTGTTCCCTCTAGACATAAGGGCTCTCTCTCTCTTTTCTTTTCTTCAACTATGGTAAAGGAAGCACTATTGTGACACTATTTTTGTTACTGGTAATCATAAGAAAGTTTCTTAAAAATAGAAGGAACCATATATTGACAGATCCCTGATAAATAAGAAGGATTAATGAAAAATTGAAGATTTTAATTCTCATATAGAATGCCACCTGAATTGTGTGTCAGGGTTTTGAACAATTAAAAACATAAGGTGGACGTGGATTTTACTGCAACAAGTCAAAAGAGCAACAATAATTGACATGTATCACGCACATCTAAAAATATGAGCAATGAATGGGAAACTTTATTTTCGTCAACAACAAACTTAGAATTAATTGTTCCTCATTGGAGGGTGGCTGAGGTAGCAGGCACAGATGAGTCACCTAGGAAGGTGGAGGAGCCACCCAGAAAGAAAGGAATTCCACAAAATTATGAAATAATTCTCAGCATCCAGACAATGGAGATGGCAGGCAGTGGGGAAACATTGAACTCTCCAACTGCACTGTGCCCCATGCTGGTTTGAGTGAATGTCAATAAATGTGATTATCTGCCAACAAGAACTTATGCCGAACTTTACCAGATCAGCAAAACAAACTTTACCAAGTCAAGAAAAATGTCATGTCTGACTTAGAAGCAGTTTGGGCTGATAATTGTTTGCATGAAAACTCTTGATTTAACCAATTACTGTATGAAGGACTTGATATAAAAATAGTATTTAATTTTTTTTAAATTTATTCAAGTGTTATTTTCTTTACATCTTTGCCCTGCCTGGACCAACCCAATATGAAGATTTGATCTTGGCCACCTTATGATCAAGCAAATCACAATGTGGGATAAGGTTGGACCTGGACTGAACTAATCACCCCCATTGATCAGCCACAGGTATTGGACAACCGGGAAGGGTGTAAGGCAACACTACCAACTCAGATTAATTCCTTAAACAAATATAATCCAATTTTCCTCTTTTGAATCATATTCTACAAAGATTAATGACAAGTTGTTATTTTTATTGAGTTTAATGTTGTCACATAGAAATATTCTGATCATAGTAAATATATTTGCTGAAAGTAATGGCATTTATATGTGGAATCTGTTGGTCTCAACAGACCTTAGATCTGTGCCCAAAGGGTTATGCTTCAGCTGCTAATAGTGGTGCAGCATCTGTTATGGCAGTACAGGCCCATACAGGAGTGAGAGTCTTGATTGCAATGAATGCATATGAAGATGCTCTCCCCCAACGTCACCTTTTTTCCTGTTGAGTATGCCTTCTCCCTGGTGGCAAGGCTTTGTTTCTCCTCTCTCTGCTTCAACCATTGGGTATAAATCTTGTCTCAGGCATGAGTGATCATTAGCAACATCTTCCCACCTCTCAATGTCCATCACCCTCATGACCCTTTTTTAAATGTCATAGTATATTGGGTGATTCAGGCTAATATCCTCATCTTTGGGCAGTAAAAGTCCAAACTAGAATGTCCATTGCTCAAAACATGATGATATCAACAAAGATGAAGAAATTAGTCTGAAAAACAAAAAATATAAAAGATTAAAATTAAGTATTTAAAATATGCCATTATTTTGTTATTTATTTTTGTTATTATGATGTTTTTGCCTCATTCAAGACATACACTTAATTCTTTTACTACACTTTGTATAAACAGCTTATATAATAAAAGCTGTCATCAGGAAAACAAATCTGGTTCCTCACATATTCATCTGTGTCTGTTTAGAAAAAAAAATGGTTCTTAAAAATAATTATAATTTTCTAACTTCTAACCTGAATTGATGAAAATAAAGCATTTAAAAATATTTACCCTGACTGATTCAAAACTCATCCAAGCCTATTTATAAAAAAAATAAACTCACCCAAGTATATCAAAAGCAAAAGACACAAGTACTAACCAATGTAGCTCCTTCTTTGGCTAGAAAGGAACGCAATTCCATCATTGTACATTTTGGAGGCATGGCATAAGCTTTCTGCAGAAGCAATGGGCCAATGTCAAATCTGTAAAAGAAAAGACTAGATTTATCAATGAATTCCCCTCCCCAGAAAACAATGACAAGTTGAAAATGTTTCTCCTACCAAAAAGCTATGGATAAAAACAAAATAACAAATTAATAGTGCACAAAACAGAAAATGTAGTAAAACATTTTTATTACTCACCAGAATTCCATCTCCAGGAATTCAACCAACATTGACAACTTGAATGGATCAAGGTGGAAAAGAAGGTTTATTTTTAATTATTCTTCATTCTCTACAAAACTGTCATCATTAAATACACTATAAGGAAATACATATTTTGTATGGAAACTAAATCTATATTATAAAAGAAGAAGAGTTGATTCTGTGTACATCACACACTGTCTGTATGGGACTTTGCATAAGCATATATACTGTATGTATATCAGCATTGTGTGGGAGTAACATACACATGCTTGTGATATTTAATGTAGAAACCATCATACACACATGCACACACAATCCCACTCAGTCAGGACAACAGCCATTTTGGATTGAGTAGTAAAGTTGTAAATTTGGAGACCAAAAAAATTAACATTTTAAATCCTCAAAATATTAGATAATTAAGATTTTATTGGAATTTTTGGAAATTGTTTGCTAATAAAGAAAATAAATTTTAACATTTTTATTTTTATTTTATAGAAGTATTTTTTAGATCTGAAATTGAGTTAAAATATAAATGAACAGATGCAAAAGTGTATATATATATATATATATATATATAAAATTTGAATGAAATTGACATGGTTATCTGTGCCACATATGCTAATTTCCCTGGCTGGCAACAACACTTGGGTAACAGGAGAAGAGTATAAGCTGGCTTTTGAAGTCATTTCTAATACACCTTCTGTATTTAAAATGAATGTATTTTCTAATAAATGGAAAACCATTCAGATTTGAAATTTAATTGTCTTTTCATCAGAAAAGGAACAGATACAGAACTAATATTATATAGACAGAGTGTGATGAGTAAATTTTCGCCATTTTATACTTTTACTTTTGCTCATGTGCATTATTTGTTTTTAATTTTGTCAACGAGATAGATATATATATATATATATATATATATATATATATATTCAATAGATAATATAATTTTTTTTCACTGAATTTAAAGGTAAGTATTTAATAATATTGAAATATATAGCTGCAGCAATGCAGGGAAAAAATAAATACTTCTGAAAAAAAAAAACTATAGCAGAAAATTGTTTATAGAAAAACACTTTTTCTAGGAGAGATGAAAATGTTAGGAAATCAAATGAGAAAAAAATCATGATCACGTGTCCCATAATCCTGACATTGAGGCCGTGAGGGGGTTAAACATTAATTCTAAGCAGGAAAAGAAAAGGGTTAAGCCCAAAATGAAATATAGGCTAGAAGACAGAGAGAGAGTGGAGACATTTTCCTTGGTGAGAATGGAACCATCTGGATTTCTTCTCTCCTAAAGTTTATTTTTCTTATCTATAAAGAGTCTGGTATGTGGACAAAAACAGATTTGGGGAATAATTTTATCCCTTTCTTGGGAAATTAGGAAAACACATGTCACTGGCAAACAGAAAAGCAGATGAGAATTATATTTCTATCAGCAAAAATGAATCAAGAAATGGAAACAGAGAATGAACTTGTTGCAAAGGTTAAGATTATGAAAATCAATCCAATATAACAGGCAGGTGATCTGGCCTGTGTCTCTGCTGAGACAGTGACCACCCCAGGGATGGAAAACAGAGAATCTCTTTGTTGAGAAATTAGGTAAACAAATATATTTTCATTTACAAAAACAGATTGGGAAATAAGTTTATCTCTCTCTGGAGAAATTAGGAAAACATATATTATTAACAGAAAGAGAAGCAGTATTTACATTAGTCGGACTATTGTCCTCATTTTTGTCACCCTATTTGTCATAACGTTTCGGCCGTTGTACGCTCCAGCCTTCTTCAGGTAGTTGGAATTTCAAACTGAACCCTTTATTTCGATCACTAGGGTAGACTGTTCTAGTTCCACGTGCCATGTTTGATGGATGTCAGTTATCAGTTATCTCCTGCTAATTTTCCCTCTGAAAGTTCTCCACTGCCTTAACCAGGTATTGAACTCACCTTCTTTGGGTCTGTCACTGGATCTAACTACGCCTTTATCCACTGTGCCATGTGTCCTTGAGGACACATGGCAATAGTCCGACTAATGTAAATACTGTACATAATACCTCATCTCAGAAATATAGACAGACTCAGAAAGAGAAGCAGATGTGGATCATATTTTCATTGACAAAAACAAGGAATGAACCCTTTTTCTTAGGGTTGAGGTTATAAAGATCAATCATGTTATGCCGAGAAGGTGATCTGGTTTGTGCAAAAGGAGTCAGAGAATTTAAATTAATGAGTAGAATAAACTACACCCCCTTCTCCTATGCATTTAAAGAATTAGATTTGTCACAAAGACAGTTATGTGCTCTGAGAAGTAGGCAAAATATCGAGTAGAAAGGAGGGAGGGGCAGAGTTTAGCCCCCATCTGTGCAGAGTAGTGGTGAGAGAGATGAAGTGAAGTAAGTTGGAGTTAAAGGAAAAGCAATTCCTGTGACTACTCTCAAAGAAGGTGGATAATTTTCCAAATTTGGAAAGTTGATTAAGAAAGTGGAGATAGGGGACAAAGAAAGCCCTTATTAGAATTAATGCAAATTTAAAGAATCAATGAATCCCATGAACCTTTTGGCCTCACACCAGTTTGGGGCTAAAGTACATATAAGCAGATGACTTTGGGGCACTCAGAAACATTGGGCAGAGATTTCACATTGAGTGACTCAGAAATCCACATCAGCTGCCAACCAGAATTCCTGATTCCAAGACTTTGAACTCAGTCTTCCACAAGATTAGACAAGGCCCAGCATCACTAGAGAGATTGATGTGGGAAGGGTTAATTATTGTTGTACCAAGAGCTATATAAACCAGTTGAACATTAATCCCATAAATCTTTTGTTTTATTTTTTTTGTCATTAAGATATTTTTTCCTTAATATAGCACCCACCACATCTTGACTGCAAGACTACAATGACATTCGATCTTCTACTGCTCTGAGATCAAGAATACAATGTGAATCAAAGTGGCCAGCAACCAACAACCAGTTTGGACCAGTGTCAGCATTGACAAGTGGAGAGTTAGTCCATGGTTAAAGCATCATCTTAAGACCCTAAAAAACATAGGCAAAACAAAAGAGAATCCAACTTCATTTTACTTTCCACTGAGAAAGAACACAAGCATGTCTGAAAAATTGTTATTTTTAATATCCCCCCTCACATCATGCTTCTATTTTGACTACTGACTTAATAATATACAATAAATACTATTAGTATTAGTCTTTTTCACTTTCTTCAATCAGTCTATTATACCTACATTCTGTAAGCAGCATATGTGAATAAACTTCTACCAATATATATATATATATATATAAGTGAACAGTCTGTTTCATGCTAGATGCAATTGTCAGGCCTTTTTATAAGACATTTTTATGTTTATTCATTCTTTTTTATAGATACAAATATTTAAGTAACTGCTCTGTTGCTCTGTTTATAATAAACAGTATTAACAACATTTACTGACCTGAATGTCTGAGAAATTGTCATAGAAAATATGCATCCTACACAGAACTGTCATATAGCCTGACGTGCTTTTACCAATTTCATCACAGAGGAGCGTTTCCATTAGCAAGGTCAATTTTACTGTTTTTAAACTACAATTTTCCATGATTTTCTCACGCACATTCATATATGCTCAATGCGTATCCAAATGTAAACAAATGACGTCACACATTATGAAATGGACAAAGTCCGACAATTATTTTAAGACATTTTATGTTTATACATTCTTTTTTATAGATAAACATAAAATGTCTTCAAATAATTGTCGACTTTTGTCCACTTAATATATATATATATATATATATATATATATATATATATATATATATATATATATAGCCAAATGCCAATAAGTATGTTGGCTTTACTACCAACATACTTCTTATTGACATTTTTATCAGAGATATAATCTCCTAAAGGACACTCAAACAGACATACAATGTTGGCCTTTTGCAAGATGCTAGTTAGTGGAGAACTGTTTTGGACAACTAGATTGGTTGTATTATATATTTAATATAGTATACAATTAACTTTATTTTTTAGTTGGATCAGTGGAAGATATATTAGTGTTTATGTGTTTTTTTTTAGAATGTTTTCCTCTTGTTTACAATTGGAATGCATTTGATTACAATATAGTAATTTGATATGTTTAGAGTTATTTGATGATGTATTCATTTATGTTAATATTTCTAATACCTTGTCTAATTTGTTAATCAACAATGTAATTAGGGAAGTCATTATTACTGAGGGTTTGTTTAATGCTTTTTAATTCAGTGTAGAAAACCTCTTTTGTTGAAGAATTTGATTTTGCACGGTTAATTAATTTCATATAATAGCTATTTTGTTACAGGACATTCATTTTTACAGTTGAGAGTGCACGTGGTTTTTTATAAGGCAAGGTAGAAAATGTATTATTATTCTTACTGTCTATCAATACATTGAGGAATGGAATTTTTTTGTCTTTGTTAAGTTCATGTGTGAACTTAAGTACAGAGTTTTTTTTAAAGTTTTCTTGTAGTTCATGTATTTCATCAACATCTTTGACTAAAATGAGAATGTCATCTACATATGGAGGATTTTTTTGTAGTATTAAGTACATTATTTTTTAAATTAGTCATGTAAAAATTGCTAAATGTTGGCTCAAGGACAAAAAATTTTGGTATTTTTCTTAATTTTCTAAGGTTACCAAGAAATTAATCTGTGAACGTGAAAGGATTACAACAAAACTAATCGACATGATATGACTAAATTATTTAACCATAACCTTTTCGAATGAAAATATGCTGCCTATATAATTATTTATTCAAAAATTATAACATAAACATGTTATAAAATCACTACAAAAACAGCCATTTTG